TAATAGGAAATGCTTCACTTGCATTATATCTTTTAGAAAGATTTCCTTCCTAATTACCTTCTAGACTAGCAGGAAAATCACCCATTTCTTTAAAACTCTTCTGACTTTTTATTTTCAATTAGTTTATTGAAATGCTTCAAGTCACCAGTATAAAATTAAAGTCTTGTATTTTATATAAAATATAGCTTATTTTTATATAAAATAATTGTACGTTAGGCACTAAATCTTTTTGAGCAGCACTGATCCTCTAAGACGTGCTAGATTTCTCTTGTTGCTAACTGTATTCCCTGGTATTTGCCACTTCCCTGAGCATGTACCTTCTTTGGTGTGAGAAAATGTAAGCCTTCTGGGATGCTTCCCTTCTGTATTAGTAGAATCTGTTTCACTGGGCTATAGAAATCTATGAATTAGACTTGAAGCCACAGAGGGATTTGGCCCAACATTTTATCCATTCCTCTAGTACTGTGCCCAGCAGGAGGTAGCTGTTCTATAAATATTGTTGAATGAAAGAAAGAGAATCCATGACATTCATATCAAGTTATTTTACTGTGACTACTCTACAGGATGACTCATTTATCTTTTTCATTCTAATTTGAAGATTTCCCCTAAGCATATAAATCACTTACATTTGTACTGGATCAAATTCTTTACTAAGTATTTTCTATTAGATAGCATGATCTTCCAGAAAGATTTCCTGTATACACACTTATCAATATCCCCTACCTCTGTTGAGTTCTAATTTGACATAACATTGTATATTTTTTCCCTACTTTGAAACACCATGGTTTACAAAGTTGTTCATGATGGTTTACAGGCATTCAGTATTCCAACCCCAATCCCACCACCATTGTCACCTTTCCTCCACGATTGTCTCCATTTTCCCAACCTTCCTCAAGCCTTCCCCCACAGCAGTCTGAAAATAATTTCTTTTATATTATTACCCCTGAGTGGCTAAGTGAATGATCAAAAAATGTTTCCAAGAGGAAAGTTTACAAAAATTGCTATATCTCACCATCGGAACAATAAACCCTTAAGCTGTAGTCTCAAATTAACTTTCTGCGTTAATGTTTTTGTTAGTCAACTGGTTGGTTTTTATGTTATATCCCACCCATCTACTTCTGTGATGTCGGTGTTGTAGATATTAGAGCTGTCACATGGCTGTGAATGTGGCTGCGTGCTAGAGAACTCAGAGTCCTTAACTGAGCAGTCTGGCTGGAGTTAAATTTTTTAACTAGGTTGCGGCTTTGGGGTGTGAGAGAGCTGTGGGAGCTTTGTGGAGGCAGGAGCTGACCCAACCCCCTTTGAGAGTACCCTATAGGTCTCAGCTAGAAACAAGTATCCGAGAAATTTTTGTGGCAAGGTGATCTCTTTTGAGATTTATTTGAGTCTCTGAAACAAGGTCACTAGATGAGTTTATGGTGGCAGTGGTGGAACATGGATGTGGCTGCCAAAATTTCCAGAAGCAGAGAGAAGTGGGTGGGAGGTTACCCATTCCAACTCTAATACACTGCATTTTAATAGTCCATTTCACTCCATAGTCCATATCACTCCATTAGGGCTAGAGTGATAGCACAGCAGTAGGGCGTTTGCCTTGCACGCAGCCAACATGGCCGACCCGAGTTCGATTCCTCCGCCCCTCTCAGAGAGCCCGGCAAGCTACCGAGAGTATCTCGCCCGCACGGCAGAGCCTGGCAATCTCCCCGTGACGTATTCAATATGCCAAACACAGTAACAACAAAGTCTCCAATGGAGATGTTATTGGGCCCGCTCGAGCAAATCGATGATCAACGGGAGGGCCTTTACTTTTACTTACTTACTTTAATAGTCCATTTATATGTTGATAGGCATGATGTTGTAAGGTTTTCTCATACCTTTTTCTAATTTCTACTTGTATTCAGATAATCTGGCATGTATTAAATTGTTTTCAATGGTTGAAGTAACAGTTCAATTAGTAGTTGGTGTACAAAATTACAGGCTGGAGCAATAGCACAGTGGGTAAGGCGCTTGCCTTTCACGCAGCCGACCCGGGTTTGATTCCTCAGCCCCTCTCAGAGAGCCCGGCAAGCTACTGAGAGTATCTCGCCCGCACTACAAAGCCTGGCAAGCTCCCCATGACGTATTCGGTATGCCAGAGACAGTAACAACAAATCTCACAATTTGCTGAGATGTTACTGGTGCCCGCTCGAGCAAATCGATGAACAACGGGTGGACAGTGCTGCTACAATACAAAATTACAGATTTCGTTGGGCTTCTGATTGTAGAAGAACAGCTACTATGCTTTTACTTTATTTCTATACCCTAAAGTCCTCATTCCTACTCTAAATGTATAAAACTGAAATATATTTAAAAGCCAGTATAAATATAAACTTTTTAAAGGACAGAATATTTGAGATGTTTTAATCTTATTTCCCTTTTTGGTATCATGTTCTCATTTTTTTGACAGATTCTATAAGATCCATTTGTTTAATATTCAGGACAGAGTATAGACAGACTAATAGTGCACAAATTTTGTAGTCCATTGTTACATGATATTTAAAAGGAATGTGTGTCATTGTAAAGTGGAATACTGAACAAATTGACTTTGACTATTGACATAAGTAAGCAGTGTGATTCTGGGCAGGTCGTTTAATCCACTAAACTCCAGATTGACATTTTGTATTTTTAAAGAGAGAATAAGGAATGTTGTGAACTATAAGTTGTTAAACATTTATAATTTATTCCTGATGTAATGAATGGTTAGATAGTTCATCTTTACCTTACTCATCTACTTATGCTTTTATCATCATGAGTTCTTCGAACTATAAGCTTTTCTTCATAGTTTTTCAATTTTTAGTGTCTTATATCAATGCTAGAATGACAGGATACATCTAATATTAATGTTTCTACTTTTTAAATGAAACTATTTTATAAGCACCAGAAAACTCAGTTGGGCTCTAACTTATTACTTAAATGTATTTTCCATTAAACTAAATAATGATTTCAGAGATGAGGCAAACATAAAATCCAATTAAAGGCAACAATTAATGTACTGTGCTTTTTAAATGGCTTAAGAAACAAACTTTAGTTTGTTTGGTAAACTAAAACAATTCATTTCCAGATTAAATCATGTTCCAGTAACTGAATACCTGCTTTGTCTGTACTTTGCTATTAAAAGACAGCTTGACAGTTCCTTATATAGATGAGTTTGCCCTTTTTAAAAAAAGAAAAAATTAATTCTCCTTGAAATTCCTATCTGCTTGCAATAAACTCTTTGAAGGAGCAAAAATGGATGTTATAAACAGCTTCTACGAAAATTAGACACCAAACTGGTTAGACCTCTAAGGCCTATATTACAGCAGGATATGGGCAGAAAAAAATTTCTTATACTTGGTGGTACTCTGTGCACTATGTTTTTGGATAATAGTAAGATGAGACTACATCCCATAGATTGCATATAAGAGGTCTAAGTTCAGTCATCACCACATGGTCCCCTGACCACCAGCAGGAGTGGTCTCCTAGCACTGCCAGATATGCCCCCAAAATAAACAAAACAAAAAATACCTGAGGGGCCTAAGAAATAGTAGAGTGGGTAGGTCATTTGCGTTGCCCATGGCCAGCCTGGGTTCAATCTTCGACAAGGAATAACTCCTGAGTGCAGAGCCAGAAGTAAGCTCTGAGTACCACCTGGTATGTCCTACAAACAAAACAAAACCAAAAAATAAAAATAAAAAAACCTTGGAAGAGATACGTTCCTCAGTACACAGTTGTCTTCCTTTTTTCTTGGCGCAGGCTTATGCCATATCACCTCTTCTAAAAGTTGGAGGAAGTATTACTTTAGTTGGTAGTCAGGATGCTCTACTACATCAGTACCGTGCAGACCAGGCTCTGCTGCCAGTCTACAAACTGTTTCAAGTTAGTGACAAATTCAGAATAGGATATTAAACATTGAGAACTTGCTGCAATTTAACATTGTTATTCTATCCAAGTGTATTTTTTTATTATTAAACAAAAATACTGGCCGGTGATTAATTGAAGAAAATTCTTCACTCTAAATAATTTGAGAGTGGGGCTGGAGCGATAGCACAGCAGGTAGGGCATTTGCCTTGCATGCAGCCAGCCCGGGTTCGATTCCCAGCATCCCATTTGGTCCCCTGAGCACCGCCAGGAGTACTTCCTAAGTGCAGAGCCAGGAATAACCCCTGTGCATTGCTGGGTGTGACCCAAAAAGCAAAAAAACAAATAATTTGAGAAATGCTGAGCTTGATTACTTCATCAGCTTCATCACAGATTGGGGAGGGGGATGCTAAGTCACTGTCCTGTTGATCCACTTTAGTTGGCTAGGTGCTTAGCTGTAGCAAAGCACAACTGAATTATTTCTCTGGCATAAAATCAGGGATTTATCCTAAGTGTCAGTAATAATTATATTTTGTATAATACGTCTATCATTACATGTGGACTGAGTTTGTCGAACATAAAATTGGAAGAGGAAAAAGAAGCCCTAAGCACAGTACTCACAAATGGTGAAAATAAACCAGTCTTCAATGTGGCATTTTACTTTAAAATATTTTGGGCATTGTTTCCTCTAAAAAGTCCATTAATAATCATAATTGAGCCATAATTTTTATTCACTCTGAAAATATAAATTTTTAGCAGTTTCTAACGTATTTTCAGTTTAATGAAAAGTATTTGAGACGTTAACAATATATTTTATTTTATTTTGAGGGTCCTGGGGCCACACATGGAAATGCTTAGGGGTTGTTTCTTACCCTGTGTTCAGAGGTCACTCCAGAACTCAGCACTCGGGATACCTGTGCAGTGCCAGAGGTTGAACCCAGGGTCAACCGCATGCAAGGCAACCACCTTAATCCCTGTATTATCTCTCCAGTTTGAGAAGCTACTTTTTAATGAAAGTTACCTTTCATACTCTGAGGGCTGTTATAAAGCTGTACTTGATCCTTATAAAATTAAAATTTTTGTAAGGAATTTATCGTGAATGTGCTCCTTTGTGTTTATTAATACAGATAACAAGAGGAATCAGCAGAATTGAAGCATGAGTGCAGATGCCAGCCAAAGTGTGATCACTACTCCTCCTCCTCCCAGCATGCCTCACAAAGAGAGGTATTTTGACCGCATCAATGAAAATGACCCAGAATACATTCGGGAGCGGAACATGTCTCCTGACCTGCGACAAGATTTCAATATGATGGAGCAGAGAAAACGAGTTACTCAAATCTTGCAAAGTCCTGTGAGTTGAAATTAGGGGCCATAATTTTTCCTTCTCACTGGAATCCTTGTTATAATAAATGATAGAAAGTAAGAGAAGAGATTGTAAAAAGGTGCAGAGCGCCGAAGCAGTAGTACAGTGGGTAGGTCGTTTGCTTTGCATGCAAAGCCTGGGTTTGATCCCTGTCATTCCATATATAGTCCCCTGAGCACTGCCAGGAGTGGGTAAATTTTTTGTGCCCTTGTTGATTCACAGAGATTGAGTCCAAAGCTGAATAGGAATTCCATTCTGGGTAATTCCTATATACCAGAAGCCTAGACAAAAGCAGCCACAAGCTATATATCAGAGTCTAGATAAAAATAACTACAAGTTATAAAAGCATATAGGCTTTGAAAAATATAAACATAGCTTAAATTTGAAGCTGTCTTTATTTTTAATTTGCGGAGAGGGTGGTGCCTTCCAAACGGTACTCAAGAGACTGGGGTCACTCACTGTAATACTTTGTCAACCAGGTCAGCAGTTCAGTGCAAGGGCCCTGTGGCACCAGGAACCATCAGATCTCAGGGACCACATTCAGAGATATTTCAAAGGTCATGTGGTGCCAGGTCAGGTGCATCCTTGGACTTGAACCACTATATTATATCTGGTCCCTGAAGCTAAACTTTCCAGAAATCCTTCTCCAGTACAAAGGTAATTAAAGAAGTCAACCTGAAAGAGTTAACACTCAGGTTCTTTCAAGTGAAAGCCTGAGTTTCTATGTTTAAAAATATCTGAAAACATGAATTTCAATTACTTATATCAAACTATGTATACTAAAAACCTGCTTTGGAGACTGGAGAGATTGTGTAATAGGTAAGCTGCTTACCTTGCATGCAGCTGACCATGGTTTCATCCCTGGTACCACATATGGTCTCCTGGGCATGCAAAGAGTCACTCCTGAGCACAAAAACTAACTTATTAGCCATATGATAGTAACAGATAATTTTTTTTATTGAAAGCAGGGGGGTGGGGCCACACCCATAAGTATTGGAGTCTACTCTTGTACTTGGTGGTCACTCTGGCATTGCTCGGGGGACCCATGTAGTGCCAGACATTGGACCAGGATCAGCAGCACACAAGGCAGTCACCTTCACCCCTATACTGTCTCTCTGGTCCAGTAACAATTAAAACTGACAGGATGTGATAAAGTTCAAATTTTTTTCAAGGCTGTGAATATTGACACTTTTTTGAGAATTATTCCATAGAAGACCTTTTCATTCTAACTGTAAAGTTACTGTGGTTTTGTTTTGTAATTTTCATACTAATCTAAAGGCAGCATAACCTTGAGTATATTCTTTAATTTCTTATACTTTAAAATGTCAATATGATTCATGTATTGGGGAATTTAATGAAATAATAGGAAAGGTGTACATATATGCTGAAATTCCTTTACCAAGTGATAATTTTTTATATAGTGAGGAATAATAAAGGTTTAAAAGATTTATAGAGGGCTGGGGAGATAGTATAGGGATTAAGGAGCTTTTCTTCTATGTGACTAATCCTGATTTGATCTGAACATCATATGTTCCCCTAAATACTGCCAGAAGTGACCCCCAAGAACAGAACCAGGAATAGCACTCAAGCACTTCCAGGTATATCCCTAAACCATCTCCCCCTAAAATATTGAAGATTTGATTACTGATCATTTTTCCCTGAGAACCCAGTGGTGTTCCTGGTAGTCCTCAAGAGAACCAGATGCAGTGTCCAAGGATTGAACTGGGCTTCCGCCACATGCAATGCAAACTCTTAACCCCTGGACTGTCTCTTCAACTTACCCTTTATTTTTGCTAATATTTTAAATCTTGTCAAAGACTTGGAAAAGTGGATAAATTTTTCTTCCTGCTACATTTTAAGATAGTACTTTTCACACTTGGTTACACTGGCAGTTTTAAAAAAGTCAATAGACCAGTGGCTTTTCAGCCTGTCTGCACGTGGGTAGACCAGTGGTAAAACACCAGTGGACATTAGGCCAGAGATACAGATGACTTGCCTTGCATGCCACTGACCCAGGTTCAATCCCCAGTACCCTATATCGCCTTTCAGGCTCCACCAAGAACCTAGAGTAAGCCCTGTGCCTGCCTCCCCATAACACCCTCCCCCCAGGGGGGAAAAAAAAAACTTGTGAGCTAAAGGATATAGTTCCTTGCCTCACGAACCTTTACCTAATGCTGTTTGAATATTCCCACCTAGAGCAATTACCTGAGTGAGAGAAAAGAGAAACTTGCAACTTTCATGACCGTTTCAAATATTACACTCCATTAATTCCACCACAGTTAATAGTTAGAAATGATTCACTCATTAAGCCCATATTCAAGGAGAGAGCAAATAACCCCCACCTTTCGAAGGAAGGAACGTTCACTCCATGATCATAATTTATTTAAAAATAACAGAGCTGTCTACCCAACAGGGAGCTATAGTATTTAAATTGACCAACCTAATGTTACAACAACTTGGAGATGGCCAAATGTAAACCGAAAGCCTTCATTAAAGTGGTGCAGTTTTGTATAACTTAGCATCAGAGTTCAGTAAATTTGGATTGCCATGCAAGGGCTTTCATTATTGAGAGAGAGAGAGAGAGAGAGAGAAACATTTGCCTTGCATGTTGCTGAACCTGGTTTTATCCCCAGCACTACATATGGTCCCCGAAGCCCTCTAGGAGTGATTCCTAATAACAGAGCCAGGCTTAAGTGTGTGGCGCAAAAAACAAAAATTAAAATTAAAATAATAGCCTGCTCTTTGGCTATTTTTAAGGCTATTTGCCTTACAAAATCCATGCAGAGTACATTTACCAGATTGCAGGCATTTGCAATTGTTTTGTTATTTTTTAGTTTGGGGCACTATGTTTTACAAACTGTTATTTGTAAGATTTTATACATGAACTGTTCCAGCTCCACACCCTCCTCCAATGTGTCCACTTCCCTTCACCCTTGTCCCAAGGTCCCTCAACCACCCTCCCAACCCCAGTGGTAAGTTTTCTACTGAAGACAAGTTCTTTGGTTTTTTTTTTTGTTTGCAACTACTTTTAATCAGCCTACTTGTTCTTGTACAGGTTTGGGAAGTTCAAAGAGCTATTTTGTTAATAGTCTTTTCTTTTAAATCACTTTCAGCCTAAATTTGAAGTGTTTAATTGAAGTGTTTAGTTCGAAGTGTTTAATTGTATCAGTATAATTAAAAGTGTGTAGTATCTTGTGAATTTGGGGATTCACTCTGTTAGACAAAACCCAGAACCAATAAATATTAAACATGTTAGTAATTTATTTTAATTAATTAGGTAGGCCTCCTCCACCCAGATCCCCCACCTTCCAGTAGCTAGACAGTTGCACCCACCAACTGCCGTGTAACCCCATCAATGGCCAGGATCCAAAGATTATAAAACCAAGCTCCCAGAAGAGAAACAAGACCGAGTCTCCTGCCCCTGCACCTGGCTGTCCTCACCAGGGCCCCTTGAAGGAGAGTGGGTTGAGTTTCTCTCTCCACCCCGAGCAGAGCCCCGGCAGCTGACGACCTCCGTGACCCAGCCAAAGCCATGCCGAGACCACTCTCCACATACTTGAACCAGCCTCACGCATGAAGGAACTGACAGAGGAACCCAGGTGTGCAGGACCTGGGGCTGAGATCTCCAAGCCTGCTCAGATCGGGACTGGGCGTCCTCCACCTAGATCCTCCACCTTCCAGTAGCTAGACAGTTACACTCACCAACTGCTGTGTAACCCCATCAACGGCCCCAAGATCCAGAGACTATAAAACCAATTTCCCGGAAGCCGCGTTACCTCTTATTCTCTAATTCTCGCTCTCAGAGAACCTGGCAGGCTACTGAGAGTATTGTCGATTATTCGTCGATTGCCTCGAGCAGGCCCCAGTAACGTCTCTTTCATCCTAGCCCTGAGATTATATTCAAGGCTCTTTAGGAGAATGAGACCCATCATTTTTACTGGTATTTGGCATATTTGGTACGCCACGGGGAGTTTGCCAGACTCTGCCCTGTGGGAAGGCTACATTCGATAGCCTGCAAGTTTGGACAAACTTGCAAACTGAGAGTATCATGCCTGCATAAATGCCTTACTGGGAACACCTGTAAAGGTGATTAGCGGCTGCCCCAAAAGCCTCCGTCCATCTTGGAGAGCCCTGCAAGCTACTGAGAATATCCCACCCGCACGGCACAGCCTGGCAAGCTCCCCATGGTGTACTCAATATGCCAAAAACAGTAACAATGATGGTCCTCATTCCCCTGACCCTGAAAGAGCCCCCAATATGTCATCGGGCTACACTAGCACGTGACAGGAACGAATGGAGATGTTACTGGGCCCGCTCGAGCAAATCGATGAACAACAGCGTGGTAGTGATAGTGATAATTTATTTTTGTAAATGACAAATTTGTGGACCTTCTATCTTAATTTTGTTTGTTTTGGGGCCACACCTGGCAGTGCTCAGGGCTTCCTTCAAACTCTGTGTTCAGGGATCACTCTTGACAGGACTTGAAGGATCATGCATGGTGCCAGGGATTGAACATAGGTTAGCCACATGCAAGGCAGACTTCATATCTGCTGTACTATTGCTCTGGCTCCTTGCCTCCCTGCCTGCCTGCCTGCCTGCCTACCTACCTGCCTTCCTTTCTCCTTCCTTCCTTCCTTCCTTCCTTCCTTCCTTCCTTCCTTCCCTTTCCTTCTTTCCTTCTCTTTCTTTTGAGTTCATTTAGGAAGAAATCAAGAGAAAAACTAATTAAAATCAAAGTTTAATACTTTTTTATTAAGCACTTACAATGTTCCAATCCACTGTTATATATCTAATCCAAGTTAAATCTTCAAATGTCTCAGTCAAAGAAGTATTAATATTCTTAGTTTACAGATGAGTGAGCTGAAATTTAGAGACATTAAATAACTTGCTGAAGTTTTTATAGATTAGTTAAATAGCAATGTCAGAATTTAAACTCAAAATTCATACCAGGTGTTGGGGGTAGAGTATGCTTGAAACTTCATTGTTAA